TATATATATGTGTATATATATGTATATGTATGTATGTATATATGTGTATATATATATGTGTATGTGTGTATATGTATATATATATATATATATGTATATATATATATGTATATATATATATATATATATATATATATATATATATATATACACACTATTACTATTATTTTTAATATTATTATTATTTTATAGAATTTTGATAAAATATAAGATAATAAATTTTTTCCTAAAACCTATTCCTAACTTAATTTTATTTTACAGGGAAATTTACTTAATTTTTTATTTATTATTTTTAAATAAATAATTTTATTGAAATAAATTACATTATTATTTTTAGTTTTGATAGTTGTAAAAGGTGTTACAGTTGTATTAAGTGTTTATAATTAATTTCTTATTTCTTTTTACCGTATAATCACACATTTCTACTCAAAGTGTGCAGCTTCACAAGCAATTGCTGTAAAACTGGATATTTTTAAGCTCAGATTTAAATTTATTTAGATTTTTCACAATCAACTATATTTTTCAGATATGCTTTTGTGTCTTGCTTCACATTTACATTCATTTAAAAAAGCCTACAGAAAATGATTAGTACCGTCAAAGCAGCCGTTTTTAGATGCAGAGATTTTCCATAATGTCCAATTCACATCTCTCCTTTTTGGTCAGCAGCATCTTATGCCTTTATATTTTATTTTTGGTCTATTATTAAGGTGGACCATTATCACAAGAGCACAGCCTGTATTGCACTTCAAATATGTTTTCTACAAAGAAATAATGTCAAGTTTAGTTCAGCGTCTTGCTATAAACATGCTTTTAGACTGTGAAATGGAAAAGAGCTTCTTTGTTGATCAGTCAGTCACTCTTTATCACCAACAGTTAGTTGTTTTCCACCCAGAGAAGGCAGAGTTTGAGTGTTCGTGCATGTACCTGAGGATATTTTCAGATGCTTTTATCTGTGTGAGAAGTGTGGAGGTGGTTGTGTTTTAGTGAGACCGCTGTCAATTCATCGACATCCGTCAGAAATCAATGTAAATGAGTTTGAGAATGTTTTTAAAGCGTCATGGGGTGTTGTTAAACCCTTCAGGCAAAAAATATTACTCAGAAAGCATGTGTGTCATTTATTTGTCATGTGCACAATTACACTGTAGAATTGCCCATTGAAGTCATTGTCTATCAATAGGGATTATATTATAACTACTTGATGATAATGTTGTGCTTTCCGTAATCTATAAGAATACAAGATTTGCTATTGAATTGCTCTTTTAACTAAAAACGATTTGCACAAAATGTCTGAAATTGTACAGATTGAGTCATTCGAGCACTAAATCGTTTAAAGTGGATTTTGTTTATATAGAACATATAGAGCAGGGGTGCTTAAACGTTTCCTTAAGAAGGGCCAAAACTAAACTTAATTTAGGGTGGTGGGTCGAAGGTAAATATACTAAACTGTTTTACATTAAAGTTGCCATGGTAGTCTAATACTATAAAAAACTGGAACAAATCTTATTTCATAAT